AGTGGTCTACAAAAATTAAAGAAACGTTGCTTTTCTGCATTACAAACGCAGTATCAAAACAGCCAAATTGCCAATAATAGACAAACGAATGTTTTATGTCATAGCAAACATCCAACATATGAATCCATAATACCATGTGAAAGGTTGGCAATCAGTGTCCGTAGGTATGGTATGTGCTTTGCACCTTCGAAGTGCAAAGTTCTTCTACAAGACTGGCAGGATTCTAATCCTGTACTCACTCTGGATGGTGAGCAGATAGAAGTAGTCGAGAAGTTCGTGTATCTAGGTAGCTGCATAAGTGCTGGTGGTGGTGTGGGTGATGAGATCAATGCACGTATAGTGAAAGCCAGAGCGGCTTATGCCAATCTTGGTCATCTTTGGCGCCTTCGTGATGTTAGTCTGGCTGTAAAAGGTCGGATCTACAACGCGTCGGTGAGAGCAGTTTTGCTCTATGCTTGTGAAACCTGGCCTCTCCGAGTTGAGGATGTTAGACGACTCTCTGTGTTCAATCATCGTTGTCTCCGAAGGATTGCTGGGATCCAGTGGCAACACCATGTCAGTAATGCATAGGTTCGGCATCGAGTGTTCGGTCACAGAGACGATAATGAAATTGGTGTCACCATCTTGAAACACCGACTTCGGTGGCTTGGACATGTTCTACGAATGTCGTCCCAGAGAATTCCTCGTCGTGCATTATTTGCCGACTCTGGGACTGGTTGGAAAAAGCGGAGAAGTGGTCAGTATATGACATGGTGTCGTGGTATGAAAGAAAGCTGCAAAGGGCTGGCTTCTGTTGGTCCTTCACGACTCCCTGGTTGGGGTCCGAGAGACGGTGTAACGCAGTGGCTGGAGACGTTATCAGATATCAGTCAGTCAGTCAGCTGCAACGTAGGATCAGGCACGTATATGCATCGGTCCAACTTGCCATACCGCATTAGCACAACAAGATGAACACCGGATTCATAGGAGTAGTTAATTCAGTGGTGGTAATATATAGAAGAAAGATTGTGTATAAGGAGATAGTAAAGGAAGAAAGAATTAGTTCCTAGACAGATATGAAGCGATTTTAATCTCTTAATTTAAGGAAGACAGAGAGTGTATACACCGACGCCATTGTGATCGATTCTGAGCCATGTCACCAAGAGTCTCCAACCATTGGTTACGATAGTCACGCGGACCCCAACCAGGCAGTCTGAATCTCCCAACATGGCTCAGACCAGAAGTTAGTGACTTCAAGCACTGATGCCACGTTTTGGTTTGGTCGCCCCTAACTTTCTTCCAATTATCCCCTGCAGTAGTCAGCATTGCGCGTCGTGGTAATCGGTGTTCAGGCATACGCAACACGTGACCCAATCATCTTAGTCGATGAAGATTCACAACCTCATCAACTGATTTACCATCATTCCCTAATACCCTGCGTCTAACCTCACTATTACTTACCCGGTGATCCCAGCAGATACCCGCAATATTTCTAAGGCACCTGTGGTCAAATACTAGTAACTTACGAATATCTTCCACTCTTAAAGGCCATGTTTCGCAGCCGTATAGAAGGACGGAGCGAACTGCCGCGCAGTATACTCGTCCCTTAATTGATAGACGGATATCTCGCCTTCGCCATAGATGACGTAAGTTGGCAAAGGCCAAGCGAGCTTTTCGAATCCGTGCTGAAATTTCGTCAGACACCAACCCATTAGGGCTGATCAGACTTCCAAGATAAGTGAAGTTGTCGACGCGTTCGACTACTTCACTCCCTATCCTTAGTTCAGGTGTTGACGAAGACCAGTCCTGAAGCAACAACTTGCATTTAGAGGGAGAGAAGCGCATCCCAAACATTCTGGCATTGTTGCTCAGTGCTACCAAAAGACTCTGCATTTCATCAGCGTCTTCACCAAACAGGACTATGTCATCTGCGTATTCTAAGTCAATAAGTGGACCTCCTGGTAGGAGATCAATACCCGAGAATTCAGTCGATGAGAGCATTATTTCCATCAGGATGTCTATGATAAAGTTAAACAAAAAAGGAGAAAGTGGACAGCCTTGACGGACCCCACTTGAGGTTGCGAAAGCAGATGACAGTTCGCCATAGGCTCTGACCCGACTAGTAGTGTTCAAGTAAAGAGCCTTCACAAGGTTTATGTACTTCTGAGGTACGCCTTTCAATGACAGACACTGCCACAGAACCTCTCGGTCAACAGAGTCAAACACTGCTTTTAAGTCAAGGAATACCACCATTGTCGGACGCCGATAAGTATGCCTGTGTTCTAGAACCTGACGAATGGTGAATATGTGGTCGATGCAGCCACGACCAGGTCTGAAGCCAGCCTGATTTTCACGTGTTTGCAGTTCACGAGTCTTAGTTAGGCGTCCGAAAATTATCGAAGCTAGTATTTTAGATACTATATTAGTCAAACTAGTCCCTCTGTGGTTGTCACAGGATGATTTTGACACTTTCTTAAATATTGGGACGATAAGTGATTGTGACCAGTTAGATGGGATAACGTCTAACTCCCTGATTTTAGCTAAAATATTAGTCAACCTAATCGCTAAAACTAGACCACCAGCCTTAAAGACCTCTGGGGCCAATCCGTCTGGACCAGCTGCCCTTCCTCGTTTCAGATTAGCTATAGCCTTTTGAACTTCAGCTAGAGTTGGGGGACCTACTTCAATGTTCCATTCACACTGTCTGGGAATAGAGGGTAGTTGTAGAGTAGCTGAAGGCCAGCTAAACTGCTCCTTAAAGTGTTCCGCCCATCGTTCTAAGCGTCTGGACTGGGAGCAGATGAGAGTGTCGTCTTTTTCCGAAATGGTCTGACTTACACTTGATTTATTAATTCCAGTTTCTTTTATTAGTCTGTAGAGTTGTCTTGTGTTCCCTATAGCCGCCGCCTTTTCCATCTCTTTTGCTTTCGTTGCCCACCACTGCTCACGATCATTCCTTAGACTTTTGCTTAATCTAGATTTGATTTCTTTACGCTCTTCATCGTATTCAAAACCTGATGGGATGAGTTTGCGAGAATCTATCAGTGCAATAGACCTTGACGAAATCCATTGGTTTTTTGTAACCATTTGGTTTAAATCACTGGTAGATGTCACTGCTGTTTCCACAGCTGCTTGTATAACTTTCCAAGCAACATCTGGGTCAGTCTCGTTTTCAGAACTACCTAAGTGTGACCTCAATTGTTCCTGGAACCTACTTTTGGCTTTCTCATTACTCAATTCGGTTCTAATGAGTCTTTTTTGTGTGGCTCTTTTGCGTCCAATGAGGCGCAAGCAGATGCGTGCTCGTACTAGGGCATGATCAGAGTCCAAGCAGGTACCCCAGAATGAGCGACAATCTTCTATTGACCCTCTCCAACGATGACTGATGGCAATATGGTCTATTTGAGTCCATCGTTGGTTTGGTGCAGGGGGTCGCCATGTTAGACGATGTCTCTCCTTATGCTTAAAATTTGTGTTTGCTAAAAATAAACGATTGTCTGAGCAAAGTTGCAGCAGACGATCACCATTATCTGTTCGCTGTGCCGGAATACTAAAATACCCACCTAAATGTCTTTCTGTTTTGTTTAAGCTACCTACCTGGGCATTAAAGTCACCTCCTACGAGTACTATGTCTGAACGTTTAGCTTTTTGAAGAAGTTCAGACAGCTTTCTGTAAAATTCATCTTTCACTTCATCCGAACTGCAGTCAGTGGGAGCGTAGGCAGAAACGACGAAAAGGCAACGACGTGTGTCCCTATCCTTCCGAGTTCTTACGGAGCCGTTTGGCCGAACAGAGCATAGACGACTGTTAACGGGGATCCACTCTAATAGCGCTGTTCCACTCTAATAGCGCTTATCAGATATGGCTCAGAATAGAAGCCAGTGGCGATCGTGCTGTAACCTTCTTTTACTTTCTTCATAAAAAGTGGTTGTATCTTCCTTAACTGAAAGATCTCTTCTGATTGTACCTTTCCGTTTCCCCACCATTGTTCTCTCTCTTTTTTTTTTATAATTCCCCACGTTCATTACTTTTTTTTCTCTTTTCTCCTTCTCTTCAAATTATCATTGTTTTGTGTGGCGCATATATATTTGGTGCCCCCCTGTACCAATATTTATGTGTTCAAATAATAATAATAATACTAAACGTAGATGAATTTCCCAAAAGTTGCCAAAACTTCTGGAGATATATTAGAGAAAACCCAAAACTTTGGAGATATTGCCCAAAATGTTTTGTTTCATGAATAGTAAACTATTATTTTGGTATAGATTTGCACATGCATGAATGCTATGTCTTTTAAAAACACGTTATTGACTTTTCATTGGTTTAAACATTTTATATCCTACTGGTCGATTGTTACTTGTAGTGCTGTGAGAGGCTCATAATTCTCTAAACATTTTCTGTTTTTTTTTCTAAGATTGCGAAGAAACTATGTTGTTTTTGGGTTTGAAATCAATTCTAAGGAAATTTTGGACAGCAACATTTCTTGAAATGCTCTGTATATCTATTAATGTGGTCTGCTTGCAAATATGTATAAACGAGACCACCATGATAAGTCATTCAGCTATACTTCTGTAAAGTTGTGTGAAGATAAATTCTTGTAGGTGATATCCAAGTGCTGTTTGTTGTAAAATAAATGTGCAGCGCTTTCCGTGTGATATCTAGGTTTTGATGTTGCTTCTGAGCATGAAATACCGCTGGATAGGTTCTGTAATTGGGCATAGAATTTCGAAAGGTCTATATGAACTTATTGTAGATGTGGACTTCGAGTGTTGAAATTCGTGATATTCTAGAAATTAGCTTCCTTCAATTTCGTTTTCATTCTTATCTATTTTCTACCATATTATTTTCTACAATTTGCAGTACGACAGGTAGTATGGGGTTTCACGATGTCATTTTGTCTGAGGTGTTGTTATATGAATGTTGTCGCTATATGAATACGTTCATGTAGTCGCTTCAAACACGTTTATTTTGTATCATTTCCAGACACTGACATTTTTGCGTTCAACAATTATCCTACCTGATGATGAATGACTACGTCAATAATATTGAACCGGAGAACACTAAGTATTCGTTATTTCAGTTACATCCAAGTTCATGTACTGCTATGGAAACTGAAGTGGAGGTATTTTTGTGACAACTACGTTACCTTGTATCTTTTTATAGATAACAGCCATGTGTTCATTTTCAAACTTGCTATTCATTGGAACAAGCAAGGGGTATGTTGTTCAGTATGGCTGTTTTCTATCATGACTAAAGTTTAGTATCTCAGTTGATTATTCAAGAGTTGTATGACGACAAAACATCATTTTGTTTCAGTAATGTTCTATCAAGGAGAATATTTGTAAATCTTTGATTTGTTTATATGTCATAACCTAATCAGAATAAGCCGATTTCAAGACTTGAAACGTCTTCCAAAAAAACTACACTTTCCATTCTCAGCGATGAAAGTCTTACCTTATGTAACGCTGAAAAACTTGAGGTATGGAAATAGATTTTGTAAAACCTGTTTTATTGTTTCTAGATCACGAATTTTATTCCATCTTTCAAAGGCGTTTCATCATTCCACTTGTGCTCTTTCGATGATGAAAAAGAGAAGGTATTTTAATCATTTTCAAATTCCAATTAATGATGTGTATAATTATTACTCTAATTTAGCTGTGCATAGGATTTAAATCGGGTTTAATCCAACTACATCATATTTTTGTATCGACATGTATGCTTGTTTTTGAGACCAGGTTAACAGAAGTTTCACAGTCTCTTGTAAATTCATATTATTTTTGCCTGATTTAGTGACTTTTGTTTCAGTGCATCTCACCACAATTTTTATGTGTTGCATCGGACAGTAGTTACATATCAATAAATTTACGTACAAACAGTACTACAGAGTTATTACGCTCGGTAAAAGAACCAGTACGAAATTACATAGTTTATTTTACTCAGGTTTGTTAGAACTAATATATTCTTATAAAAATTCAATACTTGCAGAATGAATTTATTGTTTCTGGTCCAGGATCATTGGGTATTATTGTCGATGCTAATGGTGTATCTCATCGTGCACCACTTCAGTTATCACCAAATATAGTAGAAGTTTTTGTGTGGAAAAATTATTTCTTCACTATTACTGACGAATTTTTTACTATTCACAAGTATGTGTAACTTTTAAAAGTTTTTGTAATTCTTTATCGTGTTTTCAATGTATTTTATTCATAAGTCTAAAACATGTTTCTGACTAGGACCTACTACAATGTTTTAAATCAAGTTTTATGTTTCGTATAAGTGTATTCAAGCGGAGTCAATTCGATGACCTTAAAATAAGTTCATGTAAATAGCAAAATATTCAATTATCGAAACCAGAGAAAATGAGCGGAGTAACTTTAAAAGTAAGGAACATCTATATGTATAAGCAAAATTGTTGGCTTAATTTTTGTAATTTAAATGTACTCGTGTGCTAGATTTGCCATTCCATTCTGTAGGTGACAAAATTGTGTCAACATTCCATATTCATATTATTACATGTTCTGAATAAGCCTACTATACAAATCATTCCGTTGTTTTAGCAATCTGCATAAACCGTCAAACCATTTTTCATTTTACTTCTATGTTGGTTAAAAATATATGCTAAGAGTTGTAATTATGTTAATTAATAATCCTTAGGAGTCAGTTTAGTTTTGGTCCTATGATATCATTGCAACCGAGTGAGACATTATTTTACTACTTGGGAGCAATCCTAATTCTTATCGATTTCTGTTGTCCAGTATAATACATTCTTTATTAGCATTCAGTGTTCTGAGTCATATCAGATTCGAGGTAAAATAAAAAAAACTGAATAGTGGATGCTAGCTCAAAAAATCATCGTACATACCATTGAGATAGTTGAACATACTGAATAACTGTTTGTCTTTTATTATATAGTTATAATCAGTAATTTTTAGAAAATCTCTTTGAAATAAGTCACTTATACTCTCAGAAGCGTTGTTTGAAATTTGAAGTTCGATGCAACTAAGGAGAAGGCCATATCAATCATACAGAATAAATAGAATTATAAGATTAACACTTATGTGCTCGTAAGATTTCGTTTTTGAACTTAAGAATCATAAAAAACAGCTGGCATGCTTTGATCTTTTAGTGAAATTATAAACTTCTGGTGTAAAAAATTATGTAAAAGTAGCTGGATCGTATCACTTTTGAATGTTTAATAGAGTGATGGGATGGTGGTTGACAATCAAGTTTCAAACCTAAATCTCCGTCTAATCCTGTTTGGTAAACACACAATATGATTCGTTCTAAAACGAGAAACATACACTTTAGCTCTTTTCCTATCGAGGTAGGGATTTACTATGTCTTAAGACCATATCAAATATAACCGTTACGAAGAGATTTGTCCGATGATGCAATAATTATATCCCATAAATCTGTTAGACAGACACTAGAGGAACTCATTCATAATTGCTTGCTTGATCTTACAGGATTAGAACGATATATATAAACCCATATGGGAGAAACACATCGTCAGATTCCATTTGTAGTTGGATGAAATATAACGAGTTTGCTGTAAAAAAGACATTTTTCTATTGTTTTTATGAAGATAAAGACTGTACACCTAAAACTCCATTTTTCTAAATGTCTGACGAAAAATAATTTGCAGTAGTGAATTAGTGGTTAAAACATTCAACTTACAGCCATTAATTCACAATTTGGAATCTCGTTTCATCTACTCCAGTTTGGGGAACTACGTACTATCCGTAGTCCTCACATTTTTTGTGGATCATATCCAAGTACCTTGTGAATGAGTTAAATTATTATTGATTATATTCTAAGAAATCTTCAGTGAACTAAAAATATCTTGTGTTTGTATAATTGTAAAATCAATTCATTGTCTGAATGCCTTCTATTACGTTTGAAGCGATCACGAGTTCGCCTAGTATCCGAACGAAACAAAGACTCTGTGACCAAAGACCAATAAGCTAGCTATTCTGATGCGTCCCAGCCCCGCTAACTAGAAAGAGAAGTCCAAGTTCGAAACGGGGAAATATATTCCGCAAGCAGCCAAAAGCACGAGCGATGACAACAGGCACAAATCAAACGTATATATACAGCCTAAAACTGTCCTTGGGAAGCGTTACAAAATAGCATACTAAATGACACAACGAACTAATAGCGTTTAAGATTCTCCCAAGTGTGAAATACGACATGAAGGTGAAAAGAGCGCTTTTGGTGCGAAAACATAGAAATTCAAATTTTCTAAAATAAAATTACAAAAATAAGGTATTTACCAATTAAGTTCTGGGGATCTAACATCCCCAACACCTTCATATCAAATAAAATTTTCTGTTTTACTGAGTTACTTAACACTAAAGTTAGAGATGCTATATCATTCTGACTGGTAATATTTACTGATAAATTAACTTTATGGATGGTCGTTTGCTGATGTACAATGAAATACTGGTATTTCTGTTAAATGTTATGAATTCTTTCTATGCATCTTTCCAGTTTTCCAATGACTATCTACGAAATGTCACTACAATTAAAAATATCGTCAGTAGAAAATAGAATTATTTAAGATTTGACTGAAGAATGTTTAGAATTTTAATTGATTTCATTAAAATAATATCAAACTGTAGTCCTGTCCACTTTACGCCAGGAATTGCTGATGAAAATATAAATGAGACTATACTATCAATTATCATAGTATTAACAACCTCTTCACCCTAATCTCACGCTTTTAAAACTAACATCAGTCAGTCAGATGCAACGTAGGACCAGGCACGTATATTCATCGGTCCAACTTGCCATACCGCATTAGCACAACAAGATGAACACCGGATTCATAGAAGTAGTTAATTCAGTGGTGGTAATATATAGAAGAAAGATTGCATATAAGGATATAGTACAGGAAGAAAGAATTAGTTGGTAGAAAGAAAGATATGAAGTGATTTTAATCTCTTAGTTTAAAGGAAGACAGAGAGTGTATACACCTACACCATTGTGATCGATTCTGAACCATGTCACCAAGAATCTCTAACCATTGGTTAAGACAGTCACGCGGACCCCAACCAGGTAGTCTGCACCTACCAACATGGCTCAGACCAGAAGTTAGTGACTTCAAGCACTGATGCCACTAACATACCTACTACTCTCCTTTTATTCCAGCATCTTGACACAATCCCAGATACAAACAATAAATCTTCAAAAGCCATCTGTGGCTTGTTTTTCTGCTGATGCTCATTTATTATACTTTACTGGAACATCTGACTGTATTACTGACACTACATCCATCAGAAATATTCGAGTCTTAGGACCAGAACGTTGGGATTTGATTGCACGGAGGTTCATCTTAACTGGTTGTCTTAAACAAGCTTTCCTTGTACAACAACAAGAACGAAATCGTCTTACTCAAGTCATGCAGTTGCAAGTTGAGAAATTCAAATATGAACAACAATTATTCGATAAGGTAAATTTACAATTAGACTCAGTTTTGTTGTAAACTGTCATTTATCAATATGTTATTAGATAATTCACGATTTTTCTTTTTGATACAGTTTAATTATGGTTTCTGAATTTTAAATCTCTTAAACTATGTGTATTATTATTAACATAGTAACTAAAGCAACTGTCCTTCACAATATATAAATGTATTCAGTTCATGGTTATGCTATAGGACTGGTTTTCATCGATGTCTATGGTTGAAAGTGGCAGGTGTTAAACCACATCTTCAATCGACTTTTGCATGACACCTTTTGTCTGCTATTCAGAAAATTTAATCGTCAATCTCTAAATGTCATTGATTAAATATCTCAACAGCTTTCTATGCGAAATATTACCGTTTTAGCTAGATAACTACTGATATCAGATCACTGGTGTCTTGAAACTGTAATGCGTGGATAAAATAATGGTAAGGTTAAGAGAAGAACTTTCAGTGATATGTGTAAGTCACCTCATGTAGCCACCGATATGAACTCATATAGCGTAGATATGCGTGTATCCCATGTCATGATGCATCAACCACGACAATAAACATTGATTGATTACAACTGGAGGATAAAACCCAAATATCTGATAAGTTGATTGACTTATTTTCCACCACACGTCTGTTAAATAGTAAGGTTATAATTCAGCTTAAGTCTTTACTTAAAGGTTACTTTCCAAATCCTTTAGAGGATTAATGAGAATGTCGAAACTAACATAAATCTTAGAAAAATATCCGGGAAATATTATACAAGAACATTTGTATTATAATACGGTCACAACTATGATATGGCTTCAGTATGATTTCCAATAGTTTTGCAGCTGATATCATTTCATAACTAACTGGATATGTTCTTTCTACTGCTTATTTTGTCTATTTATTCTGACTTGATTTTTATTCCTAACATACATTTTCTCAACTATTTACTAATTGTAATGATTTTTGTCAATCTCTCTATCATGTTTATTTCCTGTTTTATTTTATTCTGATAGTTTATATATCTATTTATTCCTTTTTCTAATAATTGTTCATGATTACCATATAAATTGTTACATCACTTATCATAAAATATTACATTTAAATGTTGGGTTTAACAAAGATTTAAGAAAGTGTGTATCTAATCGACTTTTCTTTTTGTTTTTATCCATGGGTTTAAACCATAGTGTTGCTGACAGACCAAATACAGATTTGTTTACTTGACTTTAATCTACTCTGTGTGACGGTTAGTAATACTAATCACGTAGACAAACCGAAATTGATGAAGTGGAATTCAAACCTACAACCTACTTGTTTCAAAACAGAATAATTTAGCTATTTTACTTCGCATAGTGAAGTGTTTAGTTTCAGTGAAACATATTAACACATCAATTTTCAAAGCTACTTGAATATATTAATCATTATGAGTTGTTTTATTTTTGAAAATACTTTGTTATTGCCTTTTGCTTCAAGTAGTCACTGTAGTGCCTATAAATTTCAATCATTATTATATCACCCTTTGATTTGGTGCTTATTACTACAACTGTCTTTGCTGTTCTTCCTTCTTTCCTCTGTATAGATTCGATAGTTCCTGTGTGACTTTTCATAACACTTGAGTAGATTTATTCTAGTTGTCGGACAAATATTAATTAATTAGACAGTGTGTAACTATTATGTCACGTTTACCCACCTTATAAATCTATATTTCTCATAGGTAATTGCCGCCTTCTATGCATGTACCGCCATCATCTGTATTCGTGTTAATTATATTCATGTGTGCTATTATGTACACTTTGTTTGTGCATTTTGTCTATCACCCACTCTGTTCGTTGTTCATCTGCTAGCTTACATTACTCTTTGTCGGTTTAAACTATATAAGCCGAGCCACAAAATTGAGTTGACTTGTTACTAACCCCAATGTTTTATCCAATCAGTCTACAATCATGGTTTTTCTCTAGCATAGCATCTGTCAAACAAATGATTTCAACTGACATCTCGTGTTTTGACTTTTGATGTACTGTTGAATTTACGTGTTAAATCGTAAGAATATATTCGGAGATTAACCTATAATTCATCAATCACTAAAGGGCTGTAGTTTTAGTATGTTTTGGAACTTCTTTCTAATATTCTCAAGTTAACTACGGTTATTAAAATACTTATGGTTTTTGGGCCGATTACTTTCCTTGTTACTTTCATATCTTTTAGTGTTGTGATAATTGCTAACAATAGGATTTCCTATATTTCGCTTTTCCAGAGACGTCAACGGGTACTTGGACTTTTAGGATTTTATCATTTTGAAAAGGGTGAACTAGATAAAGCAGCTTCCTACTTTGAACAAAGCACTATAGACATACGTGAAGTGAGTTACTTCCCTTTATATAATCCCTTTATTGTTATTATTATATTTGAAATGGTTCCTATTTTTGGTATATTGATAATTATCCCGCTAAGCTGTGATCTGTGAAGCTAATCATGTTAGGAATAAGACAGTTATTGTCACTCTATAAGTAGATAGACTGAAGTTATAACTAACTATATGCTACCACTAGATTGCAACTCAGTGGTATAAATGTCGCAAACTCAAGTGAATCGACTCTTTCATTTCTGTTGGTTTCTTATTTATTTATTTATTTTAACACATAAGTATAGGTACAAGGAGGCACCAAATACATATGCGCCACACAAATCTCAATTGATTTGTGTGAGGGCTGTGATACTGCCCGGGTGCCCAAACCGAAGCAGGTGGTTTTCTTAGAGGGCCACACCCCGAGCCTTTGACCTGAACGTCTGACCCACAAGGCAGTGGAGCATCGTGAGGAGATGCAGTCCCATGGTAGCCGGTGACCAACAATTGGTTCATACGCCATTTGTTCCTTCAGGATACTGGAACCCATGTGCACCATTGGTTTGGGATCCGGTTAAAGCGCCGAACATTCGCTTTTCGTCCTCTCATTTTTGTAAACAACACCCCCGCCACGAGAAGGCAGTGAGTAGGACTTCCCTGGCAGAGGCTATATACGCATGGCCATGTGAGAGCATTTCGAGAGGGAGAGCGGACTCTCCCCATTCTCGGCCGTACCAGGGCATTTGGGGGCTAAAATCAATGTTATAAACTCTTCAAATAAATGATGCAGTTATTTAGAATGAAACTTACTACGTTTTATTACAAATTTAACATTTAGTCTATTACAGTAAACTGTAATGGGATATATTCTTTTTGGAGTGGTGGGTCAGTGGTGAAGACACTTGAGTTTTAACTAACAGATGGAAGTATGGAAACCTCAATGTACTTGGATTTAAACAAACGAGTAGTATCACTATCACCCCCAAATACAGTATAGCTCAAAGCTGAGTGAATCAACTTATTATTGGTTAGACGGTAAATATCATTATATTGTTTCTTATTTGATTAGAGAGTTTACCCATACGTTCAGCATCAAACAAACATAAGCTCGTGGAATCCCTAGCCTCAACATATTATTTAGCACTAGAAGCAAGAAGTTGTTTTGAGTTTAATCGGTGAACTCGAATGTCACAGCCGGCATATCCACGTTTGTATTCGGTTGTTGAATTCTACTAATTCTTAGTATTGTTATTACAATTCAGATATCATCTTACTGCACTTTTTTGAAATTGAGTGGATTATTTCAGTTTATCAGTACATATCACTTACGATGTTTTACCGATATTTGTTGAATTATGACACTAATCAAGACTTATAAACATAGGTTTATGAATGGTTGTACATAAGTATGAACGCAACTTGCTTCTATTTATATATTACAATTTATTTACTGCTTAGGATGTGAAATTTTTTAAAAAAAACGTTTGTTTATTCCTTCTTTTCTGTAATCAGATTTTGTTTCGGTATTCTGATCTCTTGCCAAAAGGTTGTTATTTTATGCCAAATTGGTTTTACAAATTACATCAGACCAATCCCGAAGCTAATCATGATAATGACGATAATGCTCAAACATCTGGAATTAATTTAACTAGTGATTTGTGCATTTTAAGAGCTGCAGAAGATTCAGATAATGATCATGATCTAACAATTAGTTCATCATGGTTATTAAAATATGAAGAATTCCTTTTCAACTTTTTGCGTAAACATCATAAAAGTAAATTTGTTGAAAAGCATTTACATGTGAGTATGGTTGAATATATTATTACTGTCATTTCCTCGCTTGTTAAATACATTTTCACATAATTAATTATAAATACTATTGAATTGTGAACCAATAAGTTCACAAATAAGTATTGAATTGCAAACCGATTAGTTTGGCTTCTTAAGTCAATGGCTTTAGTCATCACCCAGTAATTTTAGTCTACAAATCGTAGTGCAATTGTAGAAGAATGTGGGATTGGTTACTAACTCGTTATAAATAAATAAATATTTGTAATATCCCAATGAGTAAAAAAATTAGATTTTCTGACGTTTCGTGACTTAGCGTAAGCCACTACTTGGACTATCTATCCTAGCCACCTAGTCTGATCTTATTTACAATTCACACTATCATCTTACAAATTCAACTCTATCCTTTCTCACCATAAATGTCACACAACAATTTTTCATCCTTAAACAGTACACACAACATACACACAAATTTATATGCATATCACTTATGAATCACCTTGACCGAAATGACATAACATTAACTTGTTCAGACCTGTTTTTTGATTGACCACATATATTATTCTTAATGTTCCGTTGTACTATTTAAACTTGGATTAATTTTAATTTGGTTATTTATTCTCTGAAGAATTGGCTTACACTAAGTCACGAAACGTCAGAAAATTTAATTTTTCTACTCATTGGGATATTACAAATATATTACTTTATCTATTTATAACAATCTACCCAATGCTCAATTTATTCGAAACTATCAAATCAAACCTTGGTAATGATACCTACTAACTGGTTATTCCACCTTTAATCATTGATAATTTTCATAAGTTTAAAGAAATTAACTACTAGGAAAGGTTGCATAAATTTAAAGTACATTACACAAGGGAATTTTCAAAAAAACTACTGCTACTATTCGTTACTTGTAATCTAGTTTATTGGGAAAACATTTTACCTCATAAAACTAAATATTTATCCAAGAATTTGCATTAACACTTCTTGGCAATCAGTCGACTTTTTTTTAATCACATGACATCTGTAAATTAGTGTGAACTGCTAACAGAAACCGTTACCCAATTTAGGTGTTGTGTTCTCTGAGCTGGATAATTTAATGGTGAAACTTTGATTTCTGTTTACCAAATACATTTTCTCTGTAGTGTTCGTTTTGGACTAACCAATATTTCTTATAGAGTAGTTGTGCAACATGTTGTAGTACATCGGCATGTGTGCGATTATTGATCTTTGGAGATATTTACCGGTAAATCGAACGTTTAAATTTTTTAACTGTTATCGTTATCATCATCTGAGTTACCTTTTTTGAAACTTTACAGTAAGTTCGTTTTACTTTTTCAGTTTGTAGAAACTGCCTTAGTTAAACTGTACGTTCGATTACAACAGGCTGGTATTCAACCATATCCCTATGAATTAATCATTGATACGTCTTCTAGTGATTCTCAGTCAGGTGAAGGTGGTCTCACTAAGTCAACTAGCAATAATGATCAAGGTCTAGTTGATCTAATTTCAAGCTTGATACACATTGACGTGGAAGATTTAACTGTCTACTTAGAAAGTAATAATGCCTATCATGCTTTGGCGCTTATTTATCGTTGGCAAGGTAACCTTTCAGGTGCATTGGAAATATGGCGAAAGTAAGTAAAGGTAGTGGTAGCTTCTCATTTATTTTCTTGATTAACCTGTATATTTACTTGTTTATGCCTACAATTTAGATCTTTCTCTACATATGACGCTGTGATTTACAACGTCCCAGTTTCTCAAATGAAAAAAATAATTAGGTGTTATTAAAAATTGGCTTTCTTTTTACCGCAGATCTTTTCTTTGTTTATTTACTGTCTTTGCAGATAATATCGTACTACTGTGAATTAGTATACAGGTTACCTAAATCATACTTAATCAGTAAGCAGTCAACATTTGTGTGTATGACAAGTATATATTTTTATATACTAATGACACACAAATTAGCCATAGAAGTTAAGTCCTTCGGATATGACAACTAAAATACAAATAAAAAAATTTATAAAGTTTCTAAATAAACAACTAATTTAACTGTAGCGACTAATGGATTTTTGTCTGTTTTGTTTATCATAATATTTTGTTTTCCTTGTTCAAGTTGAATGTCACTTAGTTCTACTTAAAAGTGGAATGAATTTACTCATAGTACATTTAAAGAATCCATACATTAATATGGGGCCCCCAAATGCCCTGGTATGGCCGAGAGTGGGGAGAGTCCGCTCTCCCTCTCCAAATGCTCTCACATGGCAACGCGTATATAGCCTCTGCCAGGGAAGTCCTACTCACTGCCTTCTCGTGGCGGGGGTGTTGTTTACAAAAATGAGAGGACGAAAAGCGAATGTCTGGCGCTTTAACCGGACCCCAAACCAATGGTGCACATGGGCTCCAGTATCCTGCGGGAACAAATGGCGTATGAACCAATCGTTGGTCACCGGCTACCATGGGACTGCATCTCCTTACGATGCTCCACTGCCTTGTGGGTCAGACGTTCAGGTCAAAGGCTCGGGGTGTGGCCCCCTAAGAAATCCACCTGCTTCGGTTTGGGCACCTGAGCAGTATCACAGCCCTCACACAAATCAATTGAGATTTGTGTGGCGCATATGTATTTGGTGCCTTCCTGTACCTATACTTATGTGTTAAAATAAATAATAAATAAAATACATTAATATGAATGAGTAAAATATATTTCAAAATATGTTGACTAAATTCCTCGATTTATATAATTTACTTTTAGACTAGTTTACAATGAACTAAATGATTCAAGTTTTCCAGGAGTAGAATTTTATATTTCTATACTATTAGAGTAAGTTTTAAAAGTTTCTATTTCTTGTTTTATTCATTATTTGCATTATACTGTATTTTATGCATTTTAATGAACTACATACATGTAATTACTCATACTGTGGTGTGTGCTACTTATATAGACATAAGTAGTATATGATGTTAGTCGTAAACAGAATGTCTGATAACAGAGAGGCAAGAAGATCAAACTTATCCATCAAATATGTTTTTAATAAAATATTAAATGGATGTTTTACCGGTTGTAAAGAAATTAAATCGACTAAAATATTTCACATCTAACAAAGATCTTTGTAGATTCATGGTTTTTATAGTAACACTACGATTCAGAATTCATGGTGTATTTTATACACCGGCCATTTTGTTTACTTCTGTATGAATGAAGGTTAATGTTGATGCTTTTACCTAGTTAATTATATTTTACATTTTAGCCTATCCGCGCATAATTCAACTGACTCTCAGAAACAATCACCTCATAAGAGAGCAGCTATTCATTCATCAAATGATGTAAATTATGAGTTCTCTGTTTATGCTGAATTAGTTTGGAATCATTTTATGCAAGCTTTAACAACTAATCATGAGATTATAGCTGAACAACTCATGCTACGTTTTCCTATTCCCACAAGTTATATTAATTCATCATGTGAATTGTCTATTATTGAAGACAGTACAACTGAAACTTCCTTGGAAAGTAGCCTTGCGCCATCCCAAATTCTATCACCTAATCATATTATTCAAACTCTTATTTCTTCATATCCAAATATGACAATGACTTATTTAAAACATTTATGTTCTTCTCTGCCGAATTGTGTAAGTCATCTGGTCTTTTGTAAATGACTGGTCATGAAAATATTTCTGAGAAAAATCTCAGAATACACAATCGGTGTACTGAGCTTTATTTTTATAGGATTTAATGCATTTAGCATGTCTTATGTTGATTGTAAATTTTGAAGTTTAAACCTTTCTGTAAAGTTGCACTGATAATTGTGATGATGTTATGGGTGAAAACAGTAGTATGAAAAGCTTAACTATATGTATGCAGTGTGAATGTCTGATATTAAACAAGTTGACAGCGAAAGTGTTAGAAACAATCGAGAGAGTGTTTAGCATAGATGAATGTATATAGTGTTGAACCTTTGGTTTGGATGGTTCGAATGAGATAGCATCATTAGTACCTAACTTCTATTTAGGAATCATAGAATCATTCTTTAGATGTACAGTTAGTTCCTCCTGATAACCCTGTTATTAATCGATTGATCCTCGGTGACTGTTGTGTTAGGTTGTCCTCTTACCATGTAATTGGTTAACGTTTTTGTCATCAGTCAACAGATTAAACGTGTGTCAATAACTCCATTGACTGCGAATTGACTTAAGGTTTCAGAAAGTTTCCAGTATTTTCGAAGTTTTTGCGGTTTTCTATGTCCATCGATTTAAGTAACAACATATTGTTGTCTATCTGCTAATCTTATGAATAGGTATCCGATCTAGTAGTTTTCGTACTTAGCACAATCTATCTTATCGAGTCTACTTCCTCTGATTGTTGCATCCTTTTTTTGTATAAAATAGACTGCAGGGATTGTGCTGGTTTGCAAATAACTAATTTCAAGTGCTTCTAAAACCGTGGTAGTGATTCCCGGGACAGAATTTCGCATGTGATAAAATGATTTATTCAAATTAGTTCAGTATAATCAATATTGTTTACTTTCTCTGTTTAATGAACACGTTAGCAGAATATAGATTGAATTAAAGCATGTTCCGTTCAAGGTTGTGTTGTGGCATACTGATTTGTTGAGAAATAGCCAATCAGCGCCAGCGTATTATAGAGGACTATAATCTTGTGTAAAAATTATATGTACTATCGTTTTTCTTGTGATTCTTACTTCTATTCACCCTTGTTTATTTGGAATACAATTACGTTCCTGTTCAACCATCTTCCGATTGGGTGACTTATCGATTGAAGTTGTGTTCAAGATCACTAAGCAACCCGGGTGGCTGGGTCGTAATAAGAGAGTTCATAACACAAGTTACCTAGAATTGAGACTTAAATGTCATTGAAAGAATACTTCTCAATGTATATCCTATATGACCTATTTTGTGAACCTAGTTTTAGTTAGCTACAAATGATCTTTTTAATATTCGTTCTTGCTAAAATATTATTTATTCATGGATTCAACTTACCATTCTTCTAAGTAGCATAGCTGAAAAGAAAGTGAAATTGAATTTGAAGAAATGGACAGGATACTGGGGAGATAGAGAAGTTTCAAATAGTAGAGGGTTCTCATTGAATTAAAGTAAGATATTGTCCCATTGAGTGGTTTGTATAAATTTATTTAGTATGAAGGTGATTTTTTCTCAGTTTCGGAATCTTCGAAATCCGAATCTCATTGGATTTCCCTTCTATTCAGTTTTAGAATGTCTCTTCTACCCTACCAAGCGTCTTATTCGAGACCTTCAGGTCTTTCAGTGATCTCATTACGTTTGAGTTTTGATTCATTGATTTTATGGTTGAAACTGGTGAAACTAGTTAGTGTCAATCTGTGGTAAAAATAATTTTCACATTAGAAGGAACTGTGTTTATTGTTATTGTAATCTGTAGAATAGTGTTTACTACATATCCTCATAAGCAACGTAAGATTTCAGTTGTTTTGATGCTAATATACAATCGAGACATTGTTGTTTACAGAGTGGTATATTTTCTCATGTCAAATATATTAATCGAATACTATACTACTATGAATACCTCACAAAATTTGTAATTTAAGGATTTACTATTCCTCTTTACTATGAAACTCATAAATACTACTTATTTTGTTGTTATCTTCACTTCAAATACAAATCCACTTCCATTTTTATGATGATCTTTGTTTATTTACTTTGTATTTTAGCATCCAGAAAATCATAATCTTTTAGGCAAACTTTATTTAAATACCCTATTAATGAAACTAAAGAGTACTGACAATTTGTCTGATGATGAAATGAAAAAACGATTTCGTCAATTGAGGTAATCCTTCTATTTCTTTGAGTTTATTTACTAGCAAATCTTGTTAAATATTTCATAAAGTCTATTAATATAGTACTTCAACAATGGTATCAAATAATTGCATTCATATAAACTGATTGACTGTCAACGGAAATCGTATGATTGATTGTGAATTTCACTGCCTCTTACCAACAAGCTGTTGTAAATTAACTTACCGAAACGTATTCTTACATGAATAAAACCAGTGACAGTAATATTGATATTTTGAAGCTTTGAGATAAATTTGAAATCACATTCTTTTTATGCATAGACAGTCTTTATACTATCGCTTATTTTTCTAATTATATTATTCTTATCGTCAGGCCTGTTTGAAAGAATATAAGTTATCTGTTGTTCTGTTAACTGGCGAATGGAAGTTGTGTGTAAAGTGATATTTCAATGAAATGAATAATAATGCAAATCGGTAATCAAGTTGAAGTTCATGTATGTCTGTATGCATTAGTTATTGATACTACTGAGTTGAAAGGAAAACGATTAAGCAACTTACTGGCGTTCCGAAAAATCAAAAGCAGTCGGTGGATCATTATTCTAGTGATTAATAACGAATTTTTTAAAAAAAATAATAGTAATGACTAACTATTTAAGCCATGTATCGAATTGCTTTACCCTTGAAAATAAGTTCGAACCTTTGAAAAGCTCCTGGTAGACTTCACTCGGTATCCTAATAAGAATGACTCTCACCTTTGGACTGAAGTTTACCATGTTCATGTCTCAATGAACTAGTTCGCTTACTGAAATGTGAGTATACTAGAACTTTTTACAGCTTAAGCTAAAATGAAATACTGTATAGGGGGTTGGTAAAGACTTAAGTTTTATGGTTAATATCACGAACCAACCTTAATTAAATAACCATTTAAAGCTAGGATGCACTAGACAGATGTTTCGTTCTAATGTGGAGCTCCCGAGAATTAATCATTCATAACTCCATTGAAGATCGAGTCTAGGACTTTCAGGTCCCACGGCGATTACTTAATCGTTAGACCACTGAGCAAGTATCTAATTGTTTACATGTTTAACTTGAATCGATCCTCATAATTACACAGCTATCCTCCAATGTTATTTATGGGTAACTGCCTCACACTCTTCATGGTTGAGCTCCATTGGTCACGACTGATTACTGAAACTCCGGGAAGTACCTCTGAATTAGTACCTGATCAACACATGGTTATTATCACTGAAGTTGAGTATGTAAATTTAGCATAACTTCCGTCAGTTTAAAGAATCACTGTACTTATTTGAGATTGGATGATCATTGTCATAGACACTGATTGTATTTAATTAATCACTTGTTTATGACAAGTAAAATACTTGGCATAGGGAGGCTTTGAGATATATCTTATATCACACAACATTGTAAAGAATCGATATATTGAAAATCGTTTAGGAAAAACTGATAAAATTCAGTATTCAAGGATAGAATCCAAGTATAGACACAATTGAGATCGTAAATTGATCACTTTCTATCTTTCGCCCAGTTCCAGTATCGATGACTCATGAGCTGTATGGAAGCTACCTAACCGACATCCCCTTCAAGATTTATTATTAAACTAAATAAAATATTGTTAACATGTATCTAATTTATAAAAAAAACATTTCAACACTGTTAGTAACAAAAGGACAGGAGTCTACAAACATGTGGTTGCATAATGATCATAAGTAAGAATAAAATGAGTAGAGCTCGGTTAGTCAATAAATAAAATGAATCCATGTTATTCTAGTCAGATTTTTGTTCTTTCTCTCAGAATTGAAATGAATTGGTTTCTCAGTACACAATGTTTTTTCTTGTGTTGGGGATGCTAGATCCCCAGAAATCACTTGTTAAACGTCTCATTTTTGTAATTTTATCATGGAAATATGAATTTCCATTTTTATCCTCAGTTTATATTTCCCGCCAGGAAGGACTTTAAATGTCATTGGCTCGTTTCCTCTTTCAGTACACTATTTTGTAACGTTTTCTAAAGACAATTTTGTGTTGTATATATACTCATGAGTTGTGTGCTTGTTCGCTCGTGCTTCTGGGTTGCTTGTGGAATATATATTTTCTCGACTGAATCTAGTCTTCTCCCTCTAGTTAGTTGTAATATGGCACAGTGGAATAGCTTAACTTGTCCTGTTGTTTTGTTGCTGATTTTCATTTTGTTAGCCGGTCCTAGGTGATATTGTAATCTCCTCAGACGTAGCATATTGTTACAAATAGCATTTTAATGTTACCAAATATTATTCAATCATAATAAATTTAGAAATATAAGACAATGTGAACAAGCCAATAATTTGATCGGATTAAAGATACCTTATTTATATCTGTTTTTGAATATTTAGGTCGTTGTTTTTTGCCAAAATTTGGTTTTGTTATAATGTATTCAAAAATGCTAATTATCGTGTAATATGATAAAATTGTTTGTAAATATGAGTAATTTTATAAGCGATATTGAAGATTAGGAATGTAGCATGTCATCGAATTTTCAATTATTTATAAGTCATTCAGTCAGTAACAACGTGGAACTTCGTACGTACGTACATCAGTTCGAGTTGCCATACCACATTAGCACAGAGATGCAGTTAGTCGTGAAGATAAGAGAGCTATTAGGAAGTGTAGGAAGGATTTGAATGTGACCAACTTGGTCTCGTGTGCTGTTACGGGTATGAGCGCTGATGTCACTTCCTGGCTGCCCACACCGTGGAATGTTATTTCTTGAGGAACCTGAAAACGAAATCAGATTAGTGTTGGTCTTAACGACCTGGGTGCGTAACCGCAGAGCCCAAGGGACAACTGGTTGAGGCCGGTCGCGCACGGCTTTTTTGTGGGAGGTTTTTAATGTGTTAGCTCCGTTCTTCAAAGAGCCTTACCGCCGGAGACGGAAATCCGTGGGGTAAGGTAAGGTGTGACATTTTTTAGGGGCACCCTTTTCCAATCCCTTCCTTCCTTGTGAGAAGGCAGCACCGCTGCAGATGCTGGTTGTCCAAGGGAAACACCTTACTGCTGTCACACCTCTGTACAGTCAGCAGTACGACTTCGCCTTCAGACCTTGAGTTGCTACTTTTAGTCCTACCGTTCTCCAATCGACCTTCCTTGCATGGTAGAACCTACAGGAACATATGTTCCAGCCAGTATGTCTCGGTTGGGTCATCACGATAGGCAAGCCCGACCACCACGTCAAGGTAGCAGCTACGGTCGGGTATTTACACTATAGAATCAGACCTTTTTTTTTACATCATTTTCATCAATATAGTGATAATTCACATTTTGACATTTAATTAAGCAAAGAGATATTTCTTTTCAACTAGTTTTTCATCTTGGTTGTACACTTGACCATACACTAAGAGTAAATGAAATTAGTAAAGTTGACTTGGGTTAGATAGTAGTATTTAAAGATTTAAGTGTTTATAGAAACAATTGCGAATGATGAATGAAACACGTAAAAGTTAAAGTGCATAAGGTGAATAATGTTCTAAGGTATTTATTGATAAACAAACAAATTACAATATGCAGATAAAGGATTAGTAATAAGAGAATGAATGAAGTGTTTAATAAAAAGTTAAGTATTAGTAACAGTTACTTAGCGAAGAATATGTAGGATCGATAATAGGATATTAGAATTGATAAAGTATTTGACAAGAAGTTCAATATTAGTAATAACAGTCTGAATATGTAGTCGAAGAATTGATGGTTAGAAAAACTAATTAAGTATAAAGCATGAACTACTAAAGTGAAGTAAGAAAACGCGATTGAACGACAGTTGCAGAAGTATTAAAAGTAGGTCTGTTCACTTTTCATATAACCTATATCAATGGCCAAGTCAGAAAGAGGGGTTGTTTATTCTTCTTTTAGGTACAGGGGTTGAATATGGATTGCAATAGCTTCAACGGCTTAGAAAGGACAAGCCCGTAAGCTATGTGGTAGATTTGATAGAATTAAGTGCATAATTTCAGAAGATTTATTAAAGTCAACTTGATGTCATATGTAAACTAAATTTGTGAGAATAGAACTTTTAATCACCATTAAATGTTCTTTGCTCAACCCGTTCAGATGCTATTCCATAACACTTTGATGAACAATAACACTAAAATTATGTGACTTACCTTTTCAGTCTGTCTTAGATATGAGTAATTCCGTCTATCATACCACAGGAAAGTGGTTAGTACAAATCCTCATATTGTTACATCAAGATATTGTCTATATCTTTCTATTTACCGCTTTAGTCTTCAATGTATTTTTCAAAATGACAGATTCAATATTTAGTTACTTACTATCTTATCAGTAGTTAGTTATATATTTACCTGTATTTTGTAACTGTGAAATAGAACTGAATTTTGCCAACTCATCCGTTATTCATTATTGATATCACATAAAACACTACTGGACCGTTTATATAATGAGAGTGCTGCAGTTCAAAAGAAACTCATCTATGAATTAGCGATTCTTGAGGGAAAGGTCAGTTAACGGTAATTTTATAATGGTTTACAGTTTTTACTGTTAATGACAAGTTTTTGATATTATTTTAAATTCTTACATCTCAAATTGTGAGCATTCTTGGAACTTTAATACTCTGTTGGTTCGATTTTTCGTGGTTAGGTCGTTTAATGTGTGGCAGAGCTTTGGCTAAGTGTTTTAAATATAAACCCTTTAGTTATTGGAGATTATCTTCAATCCTAAATTAAAAACTTTCTTTCCATGACAGTCCACAGGCTATCTTTAATATAGCTACGGAGATTATCCTCTTAATTTCTGATAGGCTTAACAATTTTAGAAAACTTCATGGAATTAGTTCTCTGGATGGGTGTTTGTAAGCAAGAATAATGAATTAATTTTGGAGTGAATGGCATTCATTTCATTCACATGTTCACTAATTTGTTCTAGTAAACAAAATGTTTTATGATTGTAATTGTAATATATAGATGAACATTTTAAGTGGGAATAAGATCGTGATGTAATCGGGAATAAGAAACATTTGCAAGTTGTTTTGATTACGACAGATAAAGTGATGATAATGGTAATAATTATCAAACAGAAACAATGTTGAATTAATTATAACAGTGGAGATAATAACACTGATAATAATAACAATAATTGTGGGGGGGGGTACGACCAATCTCCAATATATGTTTTCCTATGATACTGCTAGGTAGTTTGGAGTCAACCAAGACTAAATCTTAATCTTGTTGACATTTAAGGCAAAGTTATCGGGGACAAGTTGAGAATTGTGCATATTTAAGCAAGCCTATTTTAGTAATCTTGGTGAATAAAAGACGATTATTTCGTTTTATTAAGTCGTAGTATACACGGTGAGTGATTCACTAAATCCCGTTCTCTTCCATAGTAATCCATTCTGAAGTAAACTTATGCATTTATGATTTGTATTAATTTAGCTACATATTTTACCACTGATGTGAAATTCTTCGAGAAACAGTATCGAAATAGTTCGGTTGATCTGCCGGTGGTGCTAACGTTTAGTTCAACTTTTGTGAGTGGGGACAATCATTTATTATCAACTTAGAACTTGCTGTAATCTTTTAATAAGATAGACCTATCTGTTTGGATTCTGTTCACTTTAATATTTTGGTGACCAATATGATGTCATGGTAACTAACGGTAATTAAAATACGACGTATTATGGTTAGTGGAAACCGAGAATCTGTTTAGGGGATTTGTAAAACCTTAGTTCTAAACCTTTTTTGCACATGGATTTCAGGATCCTGACGGGTTGAGTAAAATATGTACCTGTTTTTTGTCACTAGCCACCATGGGGTCGCATCTCTTAACGTCACTCTACCGCCTTATGAATCAAAACTCTAAGTGGAAGGCTCGGGGAGTGTCCCCTCAAGAAAACTGCCTGCCCCAGTCTGGGTGGTATCTAGTCCAAAGAGCGCAAGCTCTAAAAAAGAAACGGAATAAATGGACTAAGAATTGAATAGTCTCTTGCAGAAATCCAGCAACAGCACTTTAAAAGAAAATATAAGGAGGTAGAAGTACATATCAAACAAGTCGTAGATTATGAAAACAGATCGATACTGGACCATTTATGTGGAATAACACATTATTAATATACGCATCTATAAATGTTAAACTATATAATGAAAACTTAAAATATATGTACTATTCACAACTATACTATATAGCTGTCACCCCCTCTTGATGCATTATGTTCAGTCAATTGATATTATGCTAATAAACGGTTCTTTTATGCTGAGAAGTTATCATCGTGCCAAGGAGTCGGAGTTCAAGTTGATGTCTTCACCTTATAGTCTTAATCTGGCAGTTAAAAGACAATCAAAAAAACCTAGATGATGTCTACTTTCGGCAATCTTTTATACGTCTGAAGATAATTTTTGTCGCTTATTAACTTCAGCTAGATAGGGATTGAAATCCAGAGTCAATTGAGCAACTCTTTTGCCATATTATGCGTCTGCCTAACATTGCACAAATCTGCGGCTGTACATGAGATTGAAATAAAGAACTTTCAGTTTCGTAGACTACTGGGTTTTTTTTTTAATTTTTCCAGTCGATTTCATTCATGAAAAGTTGTGCAATTGATTTACATTTCGCAAGCTATTTACTTAAACTTACGTATTTATTCGATTCAACAAAATAAGTTTCCTAATATTTAGCCTTTTTTTGTTGTTAAAAAATCTTTTCAATCAGGCCAATAATCATGTGAAAGCTTTAAAATATCTTATTGAAGATGGAAATGATTATAAAGCCGCATTGTACTATTGTCTTACATTCAGCCGTCAACAACCTATTCATTATAGTGCACGTAATAATGATACTAATGTAAAATGTAATACAATAGCAGTAAATTCACTTGGTACTTATCACCATTGGGACCAGTTTGAATTTATGGAAAGTGATTCTAATAATCAATCATTATCTTCCTTGTTATTTACAACATTTGTTGAAATCTGTCTTGATAGGTAAGAATTTGACTTGATTTAAATTATAGTTTACTATTTATGTATTATTAGTTTCCTACTAACAAGAATACGTAGGAGGGTTTCTTAAACTTGATTTATTTTCATGAATGACTTAAAAACTGTCTACAATCTTTATTAAATCATTATGATGAATATTAAATGTGTGCTGACTACTGATTAGGGTCGATTATGAGTTCTTGGGGTTATTTTATGATACCATGGTCTGTTTATTCAACTCTGTGACTGGATGATATTGTACTCATTTCAAATGTTATGTTCAGTCCTAAGATTAGTTGTGGATATGCGCCATCGAGGAGCATCAAATTAAAACAAAATACACTTTCAATCCCGTTTAGTTATTACTGATCATCCATTACATAATAAAAATTACTTTCCAGTTGTAAAACTGTAGTGATCAGGAATAATGGAATTCGTAATGACCAGGAGTACTGTTTATACCAGTATCAAAATCAGTGAGATGATTACAGTGAGCACAACTAGAAATATTTTATTTGAAAATCAGCTCAACCGCAGAATGGCGTACAAAAGAAATCATCGATTAGTACAAATACCACAAAAACATCTCGACAAAATTAATAAATTAAATTAAGACTATTAGATCAGAATATTCAGAATAAAGATTTGATAAACGGGATTACAAGTGTAGTCTAATGAATTGAATAACAATAAAAATGATAGAGATAACTAGAATAGTCATTCAAATTTTTGTTCAGTTTTCATAAGTTGTGATGTTGTGGTGTGGGTTACTTATATCCACACAAGTAGTATATAACGGTGGTCAGGCATAGAGTGTATTTCAGTAGAAGGTCGATGAGGAAAGAACGGGAACGAAGCGCAATTTGTATGAAGACGCATGAACAATGAAATCTGAGACAATGGATTGATGTTTGCAACAGGAACAGTCAAGTTTGATATAATGGATTGGTATTTTGCAAATTAACGATTTAATATATGGTTCTCAGATTTTATTGAGATGCTCTGTAATTATGTGCTTAAATACATTCGATTGTTCCCCACCCGTGTCCTTGTTAACTACCACGTCTGTGACTTATAAGTAGTTAAATTATATTGATAAATTTTTTCATTATTAAGTCCAAAAGGAACTAGTATACGTTTTACAAAATAAAACTTTCACTTTTGTCATCAGTTTTTATTCAAAAATTGTATTTATATAAAGTAATTAATAGATTGTTACTTTTTAATATACATTTTTGAATAATTTTGATTTCATTGGAATTTTTGTGGTTCAGAACAAGTTAGTGTATCAGTGCTTGAAGTCACTAACTTCTGGTCTGAGCCATGTTGGTAGATGCAGACTACCTGCTTAGGGTCCGCGTGAATATCTTAACCAATGGTTAGAGACTCTTGGTGACATGGCTCAGAATCGATCACAATGACGTCGGTGTATACACTGTCTGTCTTCCTTCTAACTAAGAGATTATAAACACTTCATGTCTTTATCAGAAGGGATTGTGTGGAGATTTTAGAAATTTCACTGGTTGAAATCATGAATCCATTGAAGCTAGACCACCATGGAAAACCTGGAAGCACTGGACGGCCGTTTCGTCCTAGTATGGGACTCCTCAGCAGTGCGCATCCACGATCCCGCTCCTCGCGAGATTCGAACCCAGGACCTATCAGTCTCACGCCAGGCGCTTAACCAACTAGACCACTGAGCCGACATCCAACGGTGTTAACGTCTAACTTCAACCAATCCACGAAGTTGCGCCACCGTACACCATTATCTTCAGTGAGCTGATATCTCACAACAGACCTGGTTGAACTCCACTGGTAACGGCTTCTCACTAGAACTTCAGGAGTATCTATTTTGAAGTCAGTCACTAGTGAGCATGTCTTTATTTCTAGGAACTAATTCTTTCTTCCTGTACTATCTCCTTATATGCAAGCTTTCTTCTATATATTACTACCACTGAATTAACTACTTCTATGAATCCGGTGTTCATCTTGTTGTGCTAATGCGGTATGGCAATTTGGACCGATGCATATACGTGCCTGGTCCTATGTTGCAGCTGACTGACTGACTGACTGAGTGAATAAAATGATTGACTACATTTACCCCTACTTTTCATAACTGAATTCATATCACTTCATACGTCACAGTACATAGTCTTGGAGCAAATATTCGATCTTATTTTTGTAAAGTGAATTGTCAGATCAATCAGAAAAACATAGAAATCGTAGATAAGTAGACTCCAAAAACATAAGTGTCGAAATATTTAAGCTTAATTATATCCTAAATACTCTGTGATCTGTAAAATATTAAGTAATTTAGTATATGGATATTATAAGTAGTAAGCAGTCTATAAAATTCCATTGAGCTAAAGTTTCAACAGGATTAGCATCAGGTGAATAACCATTAGTAATTAATGATAATCGAAGAATTGTTTCTACTTAGTGGGATGTTGTGTTGTATTGAGTTGGTTGAAACAACTATTTTTCAGTATTGTGTTATGATGTGCAAATCACCTGTAGTTAAAATGTGAAGTATTGGTTTTCAACTCGGTTATTCAGTTAGAGATGTGACGATTTTTATTCCCGTTTCATATAGGATCACGAGTATTGTTTATAAATTAGTTTCCAACTGAGATGAATCAATCACCGAGTCCTTCTTGGTTTTCGCCATTTTTAATTTGATTTCAGTTCATGATGAAGGACATATTTGAACTACGTGTTACATTATTTAGTCATGTTATCAGAAATTATCAGTATTTTTCAAGTATGATATATAAGTTACATAATAGTCTTAGAAGTAATAATAAGTAGTAGTTTATGCACTTCTTCAGACTTTACTGTAATTTTTGCATGGATGTATTAAAAATTTTGAACCAGTCAAGACAACATGTTGGTCTATTGTAACAATGAAAAAGATCTGCATAATTACTCGTTTGACAGGTTTAGTAATAAATAAAATATTATAAACAAAGTAGTAATATGAATAAGAATGCTGAATCAAGAAGTAGGTCAAAGTTTGCAAAGATAGACGTATCAAAATAATTATTATTCTTAACTAGATCATCGTTAAAGACCCTGAACCCGGCGCCAGGTATGGCCGAGAGTGGTGTGGGTTCGCCCTCCCTCTCGAAATACTCTCACACGGCCACGCGTATACAGCCTCTGACAGGAAAGTCCTACTCACTGCCTTCTCGTGGCATTACTGTTGTTTACGAAAATCAGAGGACGAAAAGCGAATGTCTGGCGCTTTAACCGGATCTCAAATCAATGGTGCACATGGGTTCCAGTATCGTGCCTGAGGGAACAAATGGCGTATGAACCAATTGTTGGTGACCAGCTACCATGGGACTGCATCTATTCACGATGCTTCACTGCCTTGTGGATCAGACGTTCAGGTCGAAGGCTCGGAGTGTGGCCCCCTAAGTAAACCACCTGCTTCAGTTTGGGTACCCAGGCAGTATCACAGCCCTCACACATATCCAATGAGATCTGTGTGGCGCATATGTATTTCGTGCCTCCTTGTACTAATATCTGTGTTAAATTAAATAATGAATAAATAAATAAAGAGAAGAGTGTAGAATTACAATATACTATTTTCAGTGAGGCATAATTGTGCATAATCATAAATATTGATTTAGTATTAAATATGGAAAACTGGAACGATGGATCAACTGGAAGACCTTTGGACAGTTTAGCGATTCTTATTTTCATAGATGATAATTATGTTTTCAGATAAATAACTCACATAAATAACATTTCATGCATAAGAAAGAGTTTACATACGCCCAGTCTCAACTGGCCAAAATGTTTATTTAGTGGATATCTCAACCATATAACCATTCGATGAATAATTACTGGAAAACGCATTCAGTCAACTATTTTTATTCAAGAATCTATTAAATCATTCAAAAGTTTAACAATTAAAAACAATGAATTGAAAACTTTTAACATTATCATATCTCTTTTCCACTTGTTTCTATGTATACGTTTTCATCCCTGTTTTCTTTTTCTCTTTTTTAAATAGACTTCTTATTAACGAGAACAATTCTAATGATATAAAGAAAATGATTTTAAATCTTCTAAATCATCCTGACTTAAAATTTAATTATTCAAAGGTAATTAATTAGTTACTCTTTTTTCTTCTATGTTATATATGATAAAATTGTTATGATGATACATTAATGTTGCTTTATTCAATGAGTCAATATTTTTGATCCTAAACATCATAGCAACTAATTTCATCTTGGTACTCTCTCATAATTACTTAAATTCGTGAATGCCTGATAGATATTCATAGATTTATTCGATAATACTTAACTTGATCGTCTACTTCGTTTGAACTCAACTTTGATTTGTTGTTTTTTTACTTATACGAATTTTCTTGTTTGATTTAACTAAGACTCTAGGGTTTTTCTATTCGATCATAATTCTTTCTTTAGTTGCTAATGATCCATCTATCCTATTCCCATTTTGATTTGTTCAGAGTTGACTGCTGATTGTGTGCACTATGTGTAAAATCATTCTCAGAACGCATAGATATAATGCGCTATCATCAAACCTCGTAAATTTAACTTTGATATATTCATATGACAATTTAATATTTAACTATATCTAGTTAGATATCAAAGTAATAAATTTTCAATTCTTATTGTAATCCTGTATACAAGTAGGTTTTAGTTATTAATATCAGGTTCATTGATCTTACAGTAATCACAAACTCAAAATTACTGACTGTTTGTCAGACAAAGGTACCGTGCAAACTAGTTGTTTTTGATGTTTTTCACTAGTTCTATCACATAATATAGATTTTTTTTTTTTTAACGAAAACTATCTTCAAATTAATCATATCCTTTTAAATAGAAACATTATATATTGTTATTTTACTTTCAGTTATTATCTCGTTTACCATCAACATGGAATATTCTAGAAATTAAACCATTCTTACATAATGCATTTCGATCTACTCTACATGAATGGTCAAAAATTCAGTTAGAATATGGTTTAACTAAATATAATACAAAATTATCTATTATTGATCTTCCTAATAAATCACATTGTTTATTAATTAATGATGATACTTTATGTTCTATATGTCATCAATCAATTTGTATATATGGTCCATCTAATAGCTTTGCTTGGCTTATTCCTAAAAACCAAATTGTTCATACTCATTGTTTATCATTTAATCAATGATTAAAATCTATACACTTATATAATTTGTTTTTCTTCTAATTTATTTTTATACTTCTATTGTTTGGTTTAATGTTTTGTTATTTATTAATTTTGTTTTATTCTTTTATCCTGTTAATGATTAAAGTGATTCAAACTGATAAATTGTTAGCTTTGTTTTTTTTCTTTATTTCATGTACATATCTACCTGTTTTCTATGAGTTATGACATTTTCTTATATTGATCTATACATAATATTAACAACATGGTACTTTAAAGAGAAAAAAATGTATTTGTAAAATCTCAGCGAATGAATTTTAAGTAAATCCAACGTTTCGCCTGGCAATCTGGTCCAAGCTTTTTCAAGGAAAATATAATCAAACAACAAAATTATCGAATATAAATAGGTACATGGTTCTCTGGTTTACTGTATACTGAATAAGTCATCCAATCAACGTGAACAATGTTTTAAAGTAGGTATTTACATTACTGTGTAAGAGACTTGTGTTATGAAAAAACGAAAAGTGTTAAGATAACAGATTGTGTGTTTACGTAAGTGATGTGTGAAGAAATTTCATTCAAATATATGTTGTCTTCGGTATGTGTATATTAAGAAAACATATCATTTTATATATGATATGAATCAAAATGTCACAGCATGCATTAAATGACGATAAATAAACAAGATAAGTAAACAAGATAACAGACTGAATTCAAAGAGGAATGTATTTGTAATTGAAAGTTTGTGTTATTTTAGTGTTCCCATCAATTGTTTAACATAATCAGATACAATAACTGAGTTGAAACCGTTAAATGTATTATCTATTGATTAGTTCATCAATAGATAGAATGTAATAAGGAGTTCAGGTTTACTTATTAATTATTAGTTGCCATGGGACAGCTAATTGTATTCCATCTCTCCTATTAATACTGTTTGAATTAGCCCATATATGTAGGGCTTCGGCTGTTAGTCGTTCTTTGTAAGAGTTAAAGCCTTTTTGAATGATTCGTGCGCCATTAAAGTCAATTATATGACCCGATTCAATCGAATGTAGTGCTATTGCTGATTTGTTCTCAAGTCTTTTCACATCATCTGAGGATTTAGGAATGTGCTTTAAGCACAGTTTGTGTTCCTTCACCCTCACATTCAATTGCCTTGATGTTTCACCTACATACGTTGCCTTGCAATCATTACATTTGATTTCATACACACAATTCTGTTGTTCATCCTTGAGTATTGGATCTTTGATTCGTACTAGTTTTGATCTCAGAGTATTGTTCGAAAAAATACTCTTATATTTTGAACAGTTAGAATCCTTCTGATCTCTTCTGAAATACTTTTACGATATGGGATCACCACCGTGTTAATCCATTCTTTTTGCTTAGTTCTTTTTTTAATGATATCATTTTGTTCTTCATTCTTAATTATTCTTTTAATAAAACCCTTCGGATAATTATTCATCATTAGAGTGGTACTTTAAAAGAATATCCACTCTTGTCATACTGATTGAACAGTTTATTGGTCATCTGAATTCAATAGTATAATGAATAAAGCATTTAAATTACAGCGATAATTTTCTAAGTTTGACTTTTAATATAAACACTGAGATAAAAGGACGTTTAGTTGATAAGTCGTAAATAAGATAAGAACATTCACCCTTGATTATGTTGCGAAGTATAATCCAAAATCATAAAGAAATTTGTAGATAGAAGCAATTCCAATTATTTATTTGGACGCACAAACATTGGTACAAGGGGGAACCAAATACATATGCGCCACACCATAACAATGAGTGTGAGAGATAAAGAACGTAAAGTTCGTATGATAAAGAGAATAACAACAACGAACAGAAATTAGTGTATGAGGGTGAAATAATAATAATAGTGGGAGAGACAGTTCAGTTAGTAAAAATACAACCAGAAAAATTCCTTTCAGTTAAAGAAGTTACGTTCACTTTTATGAAAAAAGTTACCACAAGATCGCCACTGTCTTCTATTCTAAACCATGTCTGGTAGTGTCTCAAAGTACTGTGTTGCACCATCTCTAGGACCTCAACTAGGATGTCGTGAAGGTCCAACACAAGCCAGTCGTGTACAGCATTCTTTCATACCTCGACATAATGTCATAAAGTGATCACCTCTCCGATTTTCGCAACCAGTTCCAGTGTTGGCAAATAATGCACGACTTGGAATTCTCTGGGACGACATTCGTAGAACATGCCCAAACCAATGTTTCAAGATAATGACAGCAATTGGATTATCGTCTCTACACCCGAACACACGATGCCGAACCTCTGCATTACTAACATGGTGTTGCCACTGAATGTCAGCAATCCTTCGGAGACAACGATGATCAAACACAGTCGTTTGACATCCTCAACTCAGTGTCAAGATTTCACAAACATAGAGCAAAACCGCTCTCACTGACGCGTTGTAGATCAGACTTTTTACAGAAAGTCTAATATCACGAAGGCGTCAAAGTTGGCCCAGGTTAGCATACGTTGGAACTAGACTTATCCGCCGATAGTTGTTGCAGAAACCACGTGAACCCTTTTTAAAGAAAGGAACACCTAACGACTCATTCCATGATGTTGGAACACTCTAATTGTCAGACCTTTGTAACCAACTCAGACAGTTCCTTGATCTGAAAGTCACCATATTTAAAATGACCGAAGGTAAGTCACATAAGAATAGTGATTTGGAGTTATTTGCGGAATTCCGCCTGATTAAGTGGATCAGTCGTCACAAGCCGTGGAGGGCCGGGAAGTTTGATCGATGTTGCCGGGGCAACAGACCGGTTAAACTGCTCTTCGAAAAACTGCCAGTCGATCGAGACGTCAATAGATGTTGGTGATTGTCATCCCGTCATCTTCACAGATTGTTTCACTCACATCGGACTTCTTGCTGCCAGTGGCTCGGATGAGTTGAAAGAGCTTCTGCGAATTGACAGATGCAGCTGCTGCTTCCAACTTATTGTCACACTTTAACCACCAGGCTTCTCAGTCCTCACACAAGCTTTGTCCAATTTCATTACGTAACAATCGTTGTTTGTGGTCAAACAGTCTTTCGGAGTAGATCGACATGCTTCAATGAGTTTTAAAGAGCCTGAAGAAACTCGCGGGACGTTTCTCGAAGTCGCAAGAGACTTTACTTGCGATTTCCATGACGTCATGTAACTACAACCAATACCCATCTATAATTTACGGGGGACGGTATCCAGCCTTGAACCTACCTTGGTTTGATATTTAATTGCAGCAAAAGCTGCAATTAATTCTCAGACATCGATCCGTTTAGAACGATGGTTTTGTTGACCATTGAAACTTAAGGTAAGATTAGCGCAAACAAAGGCATCATCAGAGTCCAGATAGGTACTCTAAAAGGAGCGGGAGTCTTGTATACAACTACGCCATCGGTCGCTGATCATGATATGGTTAATCTAAGTCCAGGCTTGATACTGAATGATGACACCTTGTGGTGCATCGACGATAACTGTGTTGGTAGTTAGTGCTAGACAGACACAGGTTGTAGTCTGCGCAGAGCTGTAGTAGACAGTCACCACTATCTGACCTGCGACCAAACCTATCTGTGATCCGATCTGCATTAGTTTGAGAACGTTGAAGGAGGCTAGTTGGAATGGTATATGTGGTTATAGAAAGACTGTTTCAGTATTCGTATTCGGTGGTAGCATCCAAATTTCGACCGGTCAGTGACTCGAGATCGATTAGATGGAACAGAATCGTCACCATAGGTGAACTACTGTAGAAGTTAAAAAATAAAATACACAAAATGAAAATAAAGGGGAATACATAAGTGGCGTAGTATAAAACAAATGTTATATGATTGTGAATAACATTTGTCTCAGCAAGAGATGAAGCAAGAGAAATTTTACCAGTCGTAGTTATCATTGATTTGTGTATGGGTTGTGATAAGACCCAGGTGCTCAAACTAAAGCAGGTGGTTCTCTTGGGAGGCCAAGCCTTTTACATGAAGGTCTAGTCCGCAAGGCAATGGAGCAACATCAGGAGATGCAGTATCATGGTAGCCGATCACCAGCAATCGTTTCAAATGCCATTTCTTCCCTTAAAATTCTGGAACCTATATGCACCATTGGTTTAGAATCAGGGTTTTCCAACCCCACTTGGTGGATCCTCCATATCCGCCAACCCGATTAAAACACCGGACATCCGCTTTTCGTCCCCTCCATTCCATAAACAACACCCCACCGCGAGAAGGCAGTGAATAGGACTTCCTTTACAATGGCTATATACGCGTAGCCATATGAGAGCATTTCCAGAGGGCGAGCTGACTCTCCCCACCCTCTGCCTTACTAGGGTGTTTGAGGGCCAAAACTCAAGGCATTACTCGTGGTAAACATATTATCAACAGTAACTAAAACAAATTCAACCTTGATTATCAACAATGGGAAAATAAACCTTTACGAAAGAGAAGACTTTATGATTGAGCCAATTTTGAATATAGTGTCATGGTCCCTGTTTTAATGTAATATTTCACCTTAATATTATGACTAGTTAAAGTTTTAAACTATACAAATCGTTAAAGCTGACAAATTAAATTTATTATTGTTCTTTGATCATTAATATTTAATTTAATAGATTTTAGTATCGTGTGGTGTATTATTATAAAATTTCCATGGAAACAAAGGAATGTTTTGGCATGTGGTATTTTTCATATTTTCTAAATATTTTAAATTTATTAAACTAATGAATTTACAGATTAAAAGATCATTTTATTCTTACTAACAATACTAATTAAGTACTGAATACAGATTGATAATTATTGAATTATGAATTTCATCATTCTTAACATATAATGCTTTTTTCTTAACTGTCATATTTTTATTGGAGGTTTTTTCTGTTTCAAGAGAAAGTTTACATCACAAACTGGTTCTAGTTAGTCTCATGTTGAAACGGACACATCCCATTGTGTCTATCAATTTACATATATGTGTGGAAACACGTACATAGGGAGGAGCAATCGCGATTTGCAATTAAGGGTGGGTGAAC